ATGGCTGTTGCTCAGCAATACTTCTTTTGCTATTTACTAAAGAAGAGAACTGTGAAAAAGGAATAAGCATTTCCGTCTTTTTTAATGTAATACATACGGTTTATGTATTTTATAATAAAATTCCCTACCTTTTGTTTCAAAAATTGGAGCAGATTATACTGCCCTGCTACAGGTATTGTGGGGAGCACACCATATATGTAAATAAAAACGTGAAGTGATTGTTTCTTGAATATAGTAGAGACTGACTAAACATAAGTGGACTCACTATAATGAATAACCTGATTCTAACTCTAAGGCTAATAAAAGTGTTTCTTTTGCTGGTAATTTATCTTATATAACTGTGCTATTATAAATGTACACTTGTACATCAATTTTTTGTGTGTGTGTTAAAAATATTCAAAAGATAATTGTAGCATAGATAACCTTTTCCTTTGGCATTCTGCCTGGTATCCTTTTAATTCTAAACTTCCTCATGCTAACTTTAAGTACAATCATTTTCTTCAATGTAAGGCTTTTACTATGTTAAAATAGAACCAATCTCCATTGGTTTTGATATTATAATAGCATTTAATATTTGACCATTTTTTGTTTTCAGAAAAGAAAACTCACAGCAATGTACATTGAAAAATAATAATTTTTAGTCACATTCAGGTGCTAAGTATTGCTTCAATCTGATCAATTAAAAAAAATTGAATGCCTTTCAGATAAAATAATCTCTTTGCTTGTGTCTCATATTATTATTCTTTTTAAAAAAATATATTTTTATTGAGTTTAGAGAGAGAGGTAGAGAGAAGGAGAGATAGAAACATCAACAATGAGAGAGAGTCATTGATTGACTGCCTCCTGCATGCCCCCAACTGGGGACCGAGCCTGCAACCTGGACATGTGCCCTGACCTGGAATCGAACCCCGATCTCCTGGATCCTAGGTCGATGCTCACCTGCTGAGCCATGCCAGCCGGGCTCATATATTATTCTTTATCTGAAAGGTATAATAATAAGAGGGCCATTACTGTCCTTGTGAAGTAAATTAGGATCTTTTTACTTCCTTTTTCTTTCATGTGACTGTACTTATTTCTTAATTAGTGTGACAAATATGGTTTAAAATAAAAATTGTGCTACTACAAATGAAAATGTGTTGGCAGCTGCTGTGCTGGTAATAGCAAAATGTCACAGATACTCATTGTCCTCTTGATTTGGTGGAGTGGTAATTGTGGAAAAAGTTTTAATAAACAACAATGAAATGGTTAATGTAGCAGCAGATTAAAATTTTACTTTGATTTACTGAAAAGATACACAATGATAAGCAGCCAATTAATTACTATCCACAAAATGTAGTAGTTAAGCATCAAATTATTATTATTTTTTTACCTGTCACTGTGAGCTAATCAAGATTTCAGGCACAATATAGATTAGTGGAAAAGAAACCCCCACACTTTACAAAATTAATGGTATATTAGATTTGAACAACAGTTTCAAAATGGCAAAAAAATATTAGAGTTTGAGAAGAGACCATATCTTCATAACACAAAACAAACTTGGAGATGTTTCAATAGCTTTGTTATTCACAAATTTGACTAAAATAGTGCATATTATGATTATCAGAAGATTATCATTTACTAATGAGCCAGAAGCACAAAATCAACTATGGTTCTTAATAGGATTTTAATTATATGTTTCACTAAAGTTATTGGTAATCCAAGTTTATTACCTTTGCAACATTTGAGCAGAAAAACACATGATGTAAGTGTGCCCCCATGTGGCTATAGACTAGTTTGTAAGAATGTCAGAAAACACCTAAATGGAAAGTGCCTTAACTGGCTCTATTATCTAGTGAGTACTTGCTCCATCGCAGGCAGAGGGTTGACACTCCTAGCTTTAAAGTCATTCAAAGTTAGAAGATTCATAATCTCTCTTTTTGTTCTTACAAATATTTTATTTTTTGTAGCCATACATGTTATTCAACCCATCCACCTCTGATTCTGAGGTGGTGTAACACAGTAAAAACACATAAATCTTACTTTTACTCATATACATGTTGTTAGATTAAAAGCCAAGCCTGACTGATTCTCTGCAAGTATTTAAAAATACATTTTGTGATTAAATAGGGTAATGGACCAAGTAAAAAAAAATGTAGGAGGGCAGGTTCTTGACCTGAAAAAGTAGTTTACCCACTTGTGTGATATATATGAAAACTGATATTTTTAAGTGAATTTTGTAGATCAACAAGATATTGGATATCTATAATGTATATCATAGATTTCACAGAGTTTGAAAGCTCACTCCCATAAAGCATTTTGTAAAATTGTCAACAATTTTATTTTGACACTAAGATGTTACCTAGTTAATATTCCTTTTCATTTATGTCCCTAGTCACTAGTCCCACGATGCAAAGACTTGTTCATGCTTCTGGAAAATGTCTGCAAGGAGTAGTTGTCAATGACCCCATTAGATATAGGCCTGCACCAGATCCCTGAGGTAGTGCAGTGTGTCTACAATTGGACAAATCTTAGAAATGCATGAGCTGGGAGCGTTGAACATCTAAGGTAAGCAGGATTCAGGAACAGTCTGAATCAGGGAGAGTAACCTCAAATAATAGAAAAAGGAAAATATCAGTATAATCATGTTTGAACTTTAAATGACAAAGACTAAGACTGCTTCACTGAGACACTATAAAAGCAAATTCCCTAACTGTACAGTTAAACATTGACTTTTCAATTGAAACTGGTATTTCAGTTCTAAGCAACTTGAACATTGCTGGTCTTAGCCTGAGTTTCTTCCAGCTAAAGCATAGCTTCCCATATTTTACATTTTATTACTTTTTAAAAATTAGCCCAAAATACTGTGCATCTACACCAAACTTTTTTTATTAAAAAATTTAAAAGTAAAATCAGAAATAGACTCAAATTTTAGGTTGCAATCAGTAAAGAAATAATGCAAATAGCTATCTTACTTTTCTCTATTAAACATTTCTCTGCTTAATTAAAATTTATCATTTAACATAGTAACTGTTTTTGATTTGGACGATTTTAATTTCAATCAGAATTTGAATACATTTAAGTTGTTTTTGCTTGTTTGTGTTAAAAATCCAAACTTACCTCTAATTATAATTTGGTCATTTAACATATTTTTAAAATTTCTCAGAAAACAATATTTCATAAGTAAATATTGATGCCTACCAGTTTTTTGCACAGATCAAAACAAGTTTTGTATTTTTAAAAGACAAATTGAACCATTTTGTACCCCACCCTTTCTACCCATGTAACCTAAAAGAGGAATCCTAATGGTAAGTCAGAATCAAAATCTAAATAAATAATAGTAATATTTCAAAAAAAAATCTTCTTTCTGAAAAATTCTGCTCACACTGAGGGAAACAAACAGCTTAAAATAGAGTAGAAGGAAAAAAAGACAAAGCACAATGGATGAAATAATAGCATTTGTAATCTTAATTTAAAATCTCATAACATTGAATATCTCCTAGCAAAAAGTTGGGTTGTTGTCATATAGATATTTTTCAGCCTGAAAATTTTATTGAGTGCCTGAACTAAATATATTTTCATGCTTTTTGTTGTTGTTCTTGGTATCTTAGGCTCCTTAATAATTTATATTCAGCAAAGGAATTTAAAAACATTTTTTTCTTATTATAACATTTTTTATTTGACAAGTTTATTTATAACTGCTTTTGTGATTTTGAAGATAAAGCCAGAGACACTCTAGTAAAGGTTATTTACTGAATAGTGATCATCCTTATGTTTTTGGAAAGGAAATGTGTTACAAAACATTGAAGTAACAGCTAAATCAACGTGAGCTACAGATTGGCAAATTGCTTGATGTATGTTTCCTTCATCTCATCTAGATGTAAAAGCCTAACTAGCTCTCTTTTCAGAGTCCTAAATCTCATGCATTGACCTACTATTCTGACCTATATCACCTTCTTCTACAAGTGTCGAGAGTAAGCAATATTGAGACATGCTTGAAAAGTATATATTGTAAATGGTACACACTTTGAAAAAGAAAAGTCATCTTTTCTGTTCATAAATATTATGATTTGTATTGTAAGGCACCAAAGTGGCTTTTAAAAAAGAGGCTTTGGCTGTTAGCATACTATGTAACATTTAGAATGGACCATGCAGAACCAATAGAGAAGTTCAATGTTTCTCTTCTAAAAAAATCTCCTAATCACTTGCTCTTTCTTTCTATTTGTTATTTACAAAATCAAAACATACTAGTGCTAAGACATTGAATTATTTTTCTCTCTTGCAGTCTAGAATTGACCCCAAACCATACATTGTAATAATGTTCCTTGCTGTTCTGGATTAAAATATGGGAAATGAGTGCTCCATTGAGAACTCTTACTCAGCCTGAACAGCCTTACACTGTGTACTTCACCATACATGGTCCCCTGCTTTCAACCAACTTGGTGCAAAAAGATAGATTATGAAATCCTCAATGCTAGGGGTAAATTAAGCATTGATAATATTTTCTAAGAAAAAAAAGAAACAAAATTGCATGCATTTCTTTTGAAAAGATAATTTTGCATCAAGTGAACATTTTATTTGCAGCTGGCTGAATAGGAATAATGGACCAATAAAATACATGTATCATCTTTGAATAGCCTCTATAGTACAGGCATAATCACATTATCAACAAAAATGAATGCCTCTCAAGTTCTGGCAGATGGAAATATAGATTCCTTTGCATTGTTCATTGTTCTATGATTAAAAATAGGCTGCAATGCAGAAATTAATTTCTAAGCTAATTCAGTGTCAGTGATATGTACTGATAGAGAACTACTGATATGTATGTTTCCATATCTGATAACATCGAAGACACCTCATCCTCAATGTCCCAGATAAGTCAAAATTGATCCAGATACAGGTGACAATAAATTAAAACTTTGCATAAAATCTTTTTGCTTTTAATGCTACTTATATTTCTAGATAAGTTAATATCTATTAAAACAACACATCACACAGCACCTTTCCTTTTATATCTTGAAAAACATACATGAGCAACAATGGAAGAAAAAAAATTGATTAGAAAAGTCCACAATCTTTCAGATTCTCTTTGATTATTATATCTGTAACTGCATCAAACACGAACTTGACATTTTGGGTATCTGTAGCACAGGTCATGTGGGAATAAATTTCCTTATCTTCTTTTCTCAAATTTAGGTCTAGAAACTGGTTCTTGATGTAGTTCCCTGCATCTTCAAATGTATTTGGCCCTTGTTAAAAAGAAATTAAAGTAAACATTAATAGCATTAAAAATAAAATTATAAATAATATCAGTAAGTTTTAAGATTTTACTTTCTGTGGTTCTATTTGATGGGTTCTATATTAAAAAATCAGTATTGGCAATCGTCAATTATCCGAGTTTTATGCAACATCTACTTTGTGCTGGGAACTATACTTACCCACTGAGGGCTTCAAGTGGCTAAAATTTAACATCTATATCAATACAGTATGCCATGTACTGTATAATTCCAGCTATATCACATTCTGGAAAGGGCAAAACTATAGAAATAGTGAAAAGATCAGTGGCTGCCAGGATCTGGAGGGGTAGGGAGAAACATGAATGGGTGGAGCACAGGGAATTGTAGGGCTGTGAAAGTATTTTGTATAACACTGTAATGGTAGATACATGACATGTATTTGGCAAAACCCATAGACCTGTACAACAAAGGCTTAAAGCTAATGCAAACTACTGACTTTACTTAATAATGTGTAAATATCTGTTCATTAATGGTAACAAATGTACTTCAGAAATGCAAGATGTTAATAACAGGGGAAACCATGGGAGCTAAATTAAAAATTACTCTAAGAAGTAAACTCTAGCAGTTAAAAGAAAGCATTATTGTAAGTTTAATTTGTAATATTCAATATAGAATCATGATATTTAATCACATGATAAATGTGTGAACACATAATTAATACTTATAAATACAGAAGAAAGATACAAGCACTAATTATAGGCTAGCTCATATAGCTATTTTGACATACTGCCATATTCCTAGTAATATCTGGGTTACCCATGTATAGTGGTAAAATCACTTGTATTTGTATTTAAATCATAAGTATTTCCATCTTACCCAATTTCACTGATAACAGAGTATATAACTATAAAAAAAGTCTCCAAAGAGAAAATAACTCTCTATAGAACCTGACATTTAAAATTATTGATTAACAAGATCAGCACAAAAACTCTAGGAGCTAGGAAAACTGGAGAAAGAGAAGGTGCCACTATTCTCAAATTCATTCATGCTGTCCTTCAGGAAACTTAATTTAGACTTTGAAGAGCCACTGAGATCTAATATAGCATTACAAGATTTCATTATGGAATATATTAAAAGTTCCAACTTGAAATAAAATTTACATTCCTATTACAATGTTTAAGGTAATAGTTTGCAACATTATTTGATACATTATGTGGAGTAGCAACCCCACTCTATCTAACCACCTCCCATTTATTCATTAGAGCTTTGCTTTAAGGCAGAGTAGAGAGGTTTCCTCTATATAAGATACTTTTCAGTGTGTATCATACACATGACTCAGAAATCATTGCAAGCCTCAACCTCATAAATATTACATGTCAAGATCCAGATAAGAAAAGATATTTCTATACAAGAATTTACTACTCTGTAATTAAATGAAAAGAATCTTACCAGTGTACTCTGGAAAGCAGATGCTAAGATGCACTTTGGTTACTTTTTCTTGAAAGAGATCTTTTTTATTGAGAAACAGGACGATGGAAGTGGTTGCAAAGTACTTGTGATTACAGATACTGTTGAACAGGTGAAGGCTTTCATGCATTCTGTTCTGTTTGGTTTAAAAGGTGAGAATGTATAGAATTATTATTTGCAAAATATTTATGTTGGGCATTATAAATAAGGATCTAGAAACAACATCTTTGGAAGGCCTCAATTGAGTTGGAAAATGCGGTAGTAATAGTGGAAACTAAAAGGCTTGTTTTTCACCCTATCTTTATTTTCCTTTTAGACTTACCACTTCTTCATCTTCTACCAGAACCATGTCATAGGCACTGAGTGCTGCACAGAATATAATGCATGTCACTCCTTCAAAGCAGTGAATCCATTTCTTTCTCTCAGATCTCTGTCCACCTACATCGAACATTCTTTAAAAAAATAAAAATAATAGAATAACAAAATTTATAAATATCCTCCAAAATTATCATTAAGATTAATATTTAGAGATTTAAGTGGATACTTTTATATCTTTAAAAGGTATTCTTTTAATTTTTTATTCATTATAAAATAAGTCTTATTTGGCTAATTTGCAGCTCAAGGACTAAAAAAGAAATTTCATCATTTTCTTTTTTTAATTCACACAAACTATAGTAAAAGAATTCACACACTGATTTTGAGCACGTTGCAAATTTAAAGTAGTTTAGAATTTTAGTAAGAAATTGATTTGCCTTAGGAGAGTCTGATCACAGTTTATATATAGTTTTAAATTAACATAATCCAAAAGAAGATTGGAAGTTGTCATAATTCTGAACTATGATTCTCTGCTGTTTTCTTAGCTCTTTCTACATTCATTCTTTCTTTCATTCAAATGATTATTGGACTTGACCATGGATTGGAAGAATTACTATTGTTAAAATAGCCGTGCTACAGATTCAATGCAATTCCTATCAAATTCCATGGTAGTTTTCAAGGAAATAGAACAAACAGTTCTAAAATTTGTGTGGAATCGCAAAAGACCTGAATAGCCAAAGCAATCTCGGGGAAGAAGAACAAAGCTGGGGGCATTAGGCTCCCTGATTTCAAACTATATTACAAATGTATATTAATTAAAACATAAGGTATTGGCATAAAAACAGACACAGACACAATGGAACAGAATAGAGAGCCCAGAAATAAATCTGTGCCATAGACATTGTGCTAGACCTACTGACACAAAGAAAAAGATATCATCACTGTCTTTAAAGAGTGCTCTGTGTTGTAGAGAGAAAAACAAATGCATTATTGTATTATTATTTAATAAATATTCCAATATACAAGGTAGAACGTGAGCCTAGAGGAAGAGTTAAGTCAGCCTGAGGGACCATGGCACTTACTCAGAGAAGCTGTTTGAAAATTTGCTCCTCTGTTTCTGTATTTTGGTAAAAGGCACCATTGCAGACAGAGCAATGCATTACAGAAACTGAATTTTAATACCTCTCTTTCCCTCAGCATCCATATAGAACACGAGTGTCCATATAGAACACATCCCAAATGCACTTTCTAATGCTACCATTTCTTACCAACTCCTGTCCTCTTGTATAAGCCACCAACATTTCTGGCGAGGCCACTGCAAGAGTTCTACTTTCCAACTGCTTTTTCCCCCCTTAGAATAAAAAACACACTGGCTTAATAACCACTAAGGCTCTAGCTGTTTTGGCTCTTGCTTATCTGTCCAAGCTTAGTTCATATCACTTTCCTGTTTTTAATACAGTCCAATCACAAGGCTACTCTTTCACTTCCTTTAATATAAACCCAAATTTTGCTATTTTAGGACTTTTGGAGTCTGTCTCCTTTCCATGTGACTTGATTCCCCTTTTTTCTTAAATAACACATTTTTCTCAACAGGTCTCAGTGTTAAAATCTCCTCCACAAGGAAGTCTCTCTCCATCTCTCATTTGCTTTCTGTCACATCACTCTCTTAATTTCCTTTATAGAAATTGTCACAATCAGTCATTAACTGTTTGGTTATTTATTTGCTTTATATGATTAATATCTATTATCTCTTTAATGGAATAGTGGCCTCATGAGGGGAGGGACCTTATCTATAGTAGTGAAGGCTAGAGTGCCAGGCATTATGCCTGATACACAGCAGACATGCAAAAAAATTTGCTAAATAAGTGAGTATATTCCATGTTAATGGCATGAAGGGGGTATTTTTATGTAAAGTGTATGTGTAAGTCAAGGAATGAGAGAAGATGGTATGTTTGGGGTATAAACAAGTAATTTATATTTTGGGAACATGAAGATTAAGATAAAACTGTTGAGATATATGACTTGAATAAATTATTCATTTATTCAACACGTGTTTGTTGATCATACTAGGCATCAGAGATTCAGTCTCAAGAAGCTTCTAATTTGGTGGTGGTGGTGGTGGGGTATGTGTGTGTGTGTATTTGTAAATAGACTTAGTATATCCATATACAATAGAGAGTGTACGAGGTGGATTGAAATAGAGTGATTAGAAATGCAGAAGATGATACTTATGTAAAAAAACTAAGAAAATTAGGTTTGAGGGATTGAGTTAAGTGGATATCTGAGGAAGAATGTGCTAGGCAGAGGAAACAGAGGAAACAGCAAGAGCAAAAGTTTTAAGTAGGCAGGAATAAACCTAAGGTATTAGGCCAGAAATGTGCTTATGGGTCTTTTATATTACATGAGAAGATTCGATTTTATATTGCAGCCAATGGGAAGCCCTGAGAGATTTTCACATAGGGAATTAACCTTGTTGTTGTTGTTACTATGTTAGGTCACTTTGATCTGAGGCTGGAAGATGGCCTTTCTGAGGAAGAAACTAGAGGCAAAGAAATAAATTATGGGGATTTTGTAATAGTTTAATAAAATATTACCAAGAAGCATCCAAGCTGTACAGAGATTTCAAAGGTAATAACTATACTTGGAATAGTAAGTATCAATTAGCTGGCATATTGAAGATAATTAAAAGCACTATACATTGTACTTCTCTACTACACATTTCACATATGAAGAAAGTAGAGAACAGATACATAAAACTAAAATTCCTCAAAACTGAGTGTCCCAAAAATGTATACACAAGTTTTTCTGATAGCTCAATTGATGTTTCTTTCTTTTCAGATTTAACCCATTTGAATTAATAATTATTCAAAGTGTGCATACATTTTTTGGGACACTGTGTATATATAGTATGTACATATATAGACAGATAAGTCTATAGATAGATATGCACCAATGTAAAATCATTCTATTCAATAGTAGATTCAAAGAGAAGATGCTCGTGATATTCAAGATAATATTTAAGAGTTCAATAGTTGTGTGGTTTGGAAATTTAAATTTTGTCAATAAAGACTATACTATGTGCTGCTGATTACCAAACCCTCTGTAGTTTCGGACTTGCAATATAAATGTAGGAAGAGAGAGGAATTTTGACTTTAAGGTTGTATTGTGTAGAAAATTAACCAACAAATTTAATTTTTAAAAATCAGTCAACATTCTTACGGAATCAAGGATAATAAAAAGGTATTCAGACCTTTAACTTTTTAGTCAAATGTTTTGTTAACCTGTAAAAATAACTAGTCTTTTTTTCAAGTATTGGAATTTGAAAATTTATCTACTGTTTTATTGAAATTACCTCTCTTGAAATAAACTATAAATTATGGGAGAAATTAAAATGGTTCAGATCATGACTTTTCTTTTCTCCATAATCCCCACATCACCAACTGTAATGTTTTAATCTTAATATAACAGAACTAATATGAGTTTACTATTGGCCAGACATAAGCATTCTATAACAATTAACTCATTTAAACTTTACCACAAGCTTATAAGGTAGGCACAGTTATTATTCTTATTTTTCATATGAGCCCTTTCAGCAACTAGCTCATGGCTTATTAATTCAACTAATATTTGTTGAATCTGCCGTGTACCAGGCATCATGATATGTCATGTGGAAATGGTAGTTATGCTAGGAAAGTTGTTAAGCTTTGTTGTGATTCTCATTAAGTTTAAATTTATTTACTTTGCCTAGAGGTCTCCAAGCAGGACATACTGTCTATAGCTGAGTCTCAAACCCTCAAGTGAACTGCAGTTATCTTTGCTGTGGAGTCTGCCTTTTTCCTCAGGTCAGACAATAGCTCTGTGTGGTGTCAAACATGTCACTGGGCAAATTCTCCCCCTTTTACGTGTTTTGTTCCATTTTACCAATGGCAATGGAGTAGACAGCTTGGACTCTAGGTGATTCACATATTCTCCATTTAATCACATATAAATATATGATGGATCATTTGTTGGCAAGGAAATGTGATACTGTGATTGGACAGAAATGCATTAACTTGTGGATTAACTTGGTGAGTTGAGGATGGAGTGTGCATCGCTAGGTTTAAACTTATGATGGGCTTTTCCAAACTAAAATCACCCCTTTTATTCCCACCCGCTATATTTTGACATGCAAGAACATCCATAATTAGTGTTTCCTTTTTTGCTCTAACCCTCTCCGCAGGGTTTGCTTCCATGGTGGGTATCCTATAAGGAGAACTAGCTAATCATAGAACCAGGACAAGAGTCACTGGAAGAGTGGGATACTTGTCCTGAGTGCCCCATGCTCACACTTCACAGTAAGAACAATGGTGCAGCAGGAGCCAAGTTCCAAAACATCTTGATTAAGTTTTCCCCATTAAACACGCTTTGGGGTAGTCCTGTCAGCATTGGTTTTGAGCCTTTTTGTCTCATCTTTTATGGACAACTAACCTATCTTCATCCATTCTGGTTGATACTTTCTTCATTTAATCACATTTATATTTTCAATCAGATATATTCAAATCTTGCAAATCTGAGAATATTCTTAATGTGACTTTGGATAACTGCTCAGATTCCCTGCATGGTAACCAAATATTTTACCTCAGAGAGGATAATCTTGTTTCTCTCATGTTGATAGTTTTTAAATTAAAAAAAAATTACAGAGTCCCTAGTAATGAAAACATTATAGAACTGAAATGCTCATTAGCAAATCAGACCAATAGCTGGAGTTTGGCTTTTGTATTGATTCTTCTGGATATTATGTTAGCTCTAGGAAAAGTTACATTATGCCTTTCTGCTGTTGTAGCAAATTATTTTTCATACATTAATTTTCACTTTAGTGTTTCCTCTAAATTTTAATTTGAGGCTTATTTTAGAGGTGTAAAACATAACATCCTATTGATACATTTACTCATTACACATTTCACTGAAGAAGTAATGTTACATATGTGTGTGTGTGAGTGTGTATGTGTGTGTGTACATATTCCATCATGACCATTCTGTGAAAAACAAAAATAAAAGCAAGAAAAGAACACATGTGCTTGCTAATGAGCACTTGGTATGGGGAAATCTAAATGGACAATTAATGAGGTGAATGGACATGTGATACAGCTTGAATGCC